GACGCGTCAGGCAGCCAGCAGCTACGCTATCTAGTAACACACCTTAATGGGGGTACCCCGCCTTTGCAGATCTGCTGCCGCCAATCGTCACGCTTGGAGAGTTAATGTCTGTGACATAATTGGGGCCGGCTAGATTAGGCATGATTACTGCCGAAACAAGTACAATTAGTTAAGAATTCAGTTCGAAGTGGTGCCCGTTGAAATTGCTGAATGAAATAATACATTCTGTTTTTCCTCACATCTGTTTTCACTGGCAAGTGGTCAGCTATAAGAACGTATTACTGAGAAAGGCAGGGAAACCTAAAATAAACAGGTCTGGTCTTCTTATTTTTCTTACTCGGTGTTCGACCATCGATTTCGATTAAGTCCAAACCGAACAGATCGGTGCAGGGAGGGTGATTTGAGAACAGGGGGTAGATTTAAGGGATTGAAGACGTAGCATGCGTCAACCACGCTCTTCACCTTCACACGGTGTGAAGAAGATCAAACGAGATCAGGTGTTGGCCGTTTTCTCCAATGCAAGCCACAAATACCGCCTAACTTAGTTTTAAGTGACACTAGACTTTGCGCTGGTATTACCGTACTACCTACCCTCACTCAAATTCAGTAGGTGTAAAGACAGACTATTTCTACTAATACAACTAACTAGCAATGTAGCTCAGTGTTAGTAGTACTGTTACTGTTACTGACGCTAATATTAGTCAGAGGCGACGCTGTTTAAAGTCAACGCTGGGGCTCAAAGCCCCTCAAACTCAATAAGGAGTGTGAATTTGGATTAATGGTATTCCGGGTAAATACATGTTTGAGGCCCGGAGCACATTAGGGCCTGTTTTGGTTCCCACCCCCTCACCTCTTTCTACCCAAGAAGTCTGTCAGTTGGTACTAATTTTGCACTATGAGGAGTAGGATACTGCTGCTAGGAGTAATGTGCCTATGCTAACAATGCTAATTCTAGTAATCCCACAAGAATGAAAGGGTCCCCTGGGCCTTAAATATGGAATTTATTCATTTGCTAAGACCAGGGCCTGGGTGTGCTTGTCGGCACCCACTATACAGTCCCAATCGCTTCGGGGTGCATAATAATCTTATGCGTTAAAGAAACATTATGCAATAGTAGCTCAAGTTGTTGGTTACAATTTGGTGGGGACGCTTGAGACGTCGCTGCTAACACCCAACAGAGAACGCTTCGTCAGTCTTCTTTTTTCTCATACCTGCGTGTGTTTTTTTTGTCTCGCTGCAACGCAGGAGCGAGCCACCTTCTACCAGAATCGGGCTGCCGCGCTGGAGAACCTGCGACAGACTGAAAAGGCCATTGATGACTGCACCGCCGCACTCAAGCTCTCGCCCAAGTACCTAAAGGCTCTCAGCCGGCGGGCTCACCTCTACGAAAAGAGTGGATCCTTGGATCTGTGTCTGATGGATGCCACTGCCTGTTGCATCCTCGAACGTTTCCAGAACAGTGTAAGTCTTTCCTCCTCCTCC